GTACTGATGGAGACCTCTGCACACTGGAAGTTCCCTTTCATACCCCAGATTAGACACAAACTACACCCAAACACCTGTTTTCACAGAGAGATCCTTCTCAAACCGGGAAGAAAAGTTAAAAGTGGCTGTTTTCTGATTCTGGCAGAAAAACAGCAACAAATGATCTTGCAGAAGTAATCTTTAAGAAGAGAAAAGGGGATGTCTATGTTAGAATGGGCTAGGATGTGGTGGTGTGTTTTGATTAGGCATGTTAAGGAGGTCAACCAGAGTGGGCTTTTGATAGATGGACTTCAATAAATTGATAGCTGGACCTTGATAGTCAGCCTCAGGAGGAGGAAGTGTCCAAATAAGGGAATAGACTTTGGTGGCTAGCTTTATGAATGTAATCTAAGGGTTTTTAGAAAGGCAAAGGAAATGAGGGTTGGAGGAGGGCAAGGCCTGCTGGAAGCCATGTTTGCCAGGTAGGGCTGGCTAGAGGCCCTTCAAGTACTATATTGAATAGATATGGAGAGAGCAGATAACCTTGTTTGTTCCTGATTTTAATGAAATTGCTTTCAATTTCTTTCCATTTAATTTGAAATTAGTCATAGGTTTCCTATAAATTGCCTTTGTTATGTTTAGGTATGTCCCTTGTATCCCTAATCTCTCCAGGACTTTTTATCATGAAGGGGTATAGGGCTTTCTCAAAGGCTTTTTTTGGCATCTAATGAGATGATCATGTGTTTGTTTTTTTCTTTCTTATATTGTGAATTACATTTACTGAATTTTGTATATTAAGCCATCCCTGCATCTCTGGGTTAAAGCCTACTTGATCATTGTGGGTGATCTTTTTGGAATTCAGTTTTCAATTATTCTAGAGTATTTTTGTATCAATGTTCATGAGGGAAATTGGTCTGTAATTCTTTCTTTGTTGAGTATTTATGTAGGGTTTGGGTATCAGGGTAACTATAGCCTCATAAAATTAATTTGGCAATGTTCCTTTTGTTTCTATTTTGTGGAATAAATTGAGGAGTATTAGAGTTAATTTTTCTTTGAAAGTCTGATAGAATTCTGTGCCAAAACTGTCTGGTCCCAGGTTTGTTTTTTTTTTTTTTTTAATTTTTTTAATTTTTATTTTTTTTAGTTGGGACAGTGTTATTTACTGCTTCTATTTCACTAGGGGTTATAGATCTATTTAAATTGTTTATCAAATCTTGATTTAACTGTGATAAATGGCACCTATTGGGAAGATTATTCATTTCTTTCAGACTTGAGTCTTTCTTTCTATTTTATTAATTTTGGCTCTCAGTTTGTTTATTTCTTGCTGTCTACTCCTCTTAGGTAAGCTTACTTCTTTTTGTCTTAAAGCTTCCATGTATGCTGTTAAGTTTCTAGTATGAGATCTCTCTAATTCTCTATGTAGGCCCTTAATGATACAAACTTTCCTCTCAGAAACACTTTCATTGTGTCCCATCAGTTTGGGTAAGTTGTGGACTTATTTTCATTGAATTCTAGAAAGTCTTTAAGTTTTCTTTCTTTCTTTCTGTCTTGACCCCTTTTTCATTGAGTAGAGAGTTACTCAGTTTCCATGAATTTGTAAGCTTCCTGTTGTTTCTTTTGCCATTGTTAATATCCAGATTTAATCCATGGTGGTCTGATAGGATACAGAAGATAATTTCAATGTTCTTGTATTTGTTGAGACTTGATTTCTGCCTGAGTTATGTGATCAATTTTGGAGACTGTTCGGTGAGGTGCTGAAAAGGTACATTCTTTGGTGTTTGGATAAAATGTTCTGTAAATATCTGTTAGGTTCATTTGGTTTATAGCATGAGTTAGCTCTTAACGTTTCTCTGTTTAGTTTTTGCCTGAATGACCTATTCATTGGTGAGAGTGGAGTATTGAAGTCTCCACTATCAGTGTGTGAGGATTAATATGTGATTTAAGCTGTAGTGTTTCTTTTACAAAAGTGGTTGCCTTTGTGTTGAGGAGCTGAAATGTCAGCTTTGTGGATTTTTCCTTTGATCAGTATGTAGTGACTTTCCCCATCTCTTTTGATTAATATTGCTTTAAAGGGTATTTTGTTAGATATTTAAATGGCTACCAGTTTTCATCCTAGGTCCATTTGCTTGGAATATCATTTTTCTTTGCCCTGAGGTAATGTCTATCCTTAATTTTGAGGTTTGTTTCTTCAATGCAGCAGAAGGATGGATCCTGTTTTTGCATGCATTCTGTTAATCTGTGTCTTTTATTGAAGATTTGATAATGAGTGATATCACTGACCAATGATTGTTAACTACTGTAATATTGTTGTTGTTGTTGTTGTTGTTGTTGGTGGTGGTGGTGGTGGTGGTGGTGGTGGTGGTGTGTGTATGTTGTGTATGTGTGTCGTGTGTGTGTGTGTGTGTGTGTGTGTGTGTATGTTTCCCTTTTTTTGTTTGGTTTTGCCGGTCTGAGATTATTTATTTTCTGTGTTTTTATCAGTTTAGTTAATCTCCTTGGTTTATATTTTTTCTTCTAGCACCTTCTGTAGGGCTGGATTTGTAGTGGATACTGTTTAAATTTTATTTTATCATGTAACATCTTATTTTATATATCTATGGTGACTGAAAGTTTTTTTGGGTATAGTGTTTCAGTCTGGCATCTGTGGTCTCTTAGGGCCTGCACCACAGGCTCTAGGTTCTTCTGGCTTTTAGAGTCTCCACTGAGAAGTTGGATGTAATTCTAAGAGGTCTACCTTTATATGTTGTTGTACTTCCTTTGCAGCTTTTAATATTCTTTCTTCTGAATGTTTAGTGTTTTTATTCTTAGATGGTAATGAGAATTTATTTTCTGGTCTTATCTCTTTGGTCTTCCATATGCTTTTTGTACCTTTTATAGGCATGTCTTTTAGGTTAGAAAACTTCTATGATTTTGTTGAAAATATTTTTGGGGACTTTGAATTGGGAATCTTTTCTCTCCTCTATTCCCAATATTCTTAGGTTTTGTCTTTTTATAGTGTCCCAGGTATTCTGGATGCTTTGTGTCGGGAATTTTTGAGGTTTAACAATTTCTCTGGCCATTGTATTCATTTCTTCTATCATATCTTCAATGCCTGAGATTTTTCTCTTCCATCTCTGTATTCTGTTGGTGTAGCTTGCATCTGTAGTTCCAGTTTGCATTCCTAAGTTCTTTCATTTTCAGAATTCCCCTTGTTTGTAATTTCTTTATTGTTTTTGAATCTTCAACAGTTTTATTCATTTCCTTAATCTGTTTTCTTTCCCTGGGCTTTCTTTAAAAGATTTTTTTTTTTCATTTTCTTCATTTGTTTGGTTTGTGTTTTTCTGGCTTTCTATTGGGATAATCTTTTTGTGCACGGTGTGAAGGTTGTCTTTGTATTATTTAAATGCTGCTTTCTGTACCAGCAGAGAGTTGAGTGCAGGCCAGACCTTGGTATTGCTATTTTTATGAAGCATCACCTGTCAATGACTTGCAAGCACACTTCCCTCACCTCCTCATTGGTTTAGTAAAGAGCTGACAGCCTATAGCTAGGAAGGAGAGGGAAGGTGGGACTTGCAGACAGAGATAGGAACTGTGGGAAGAATTGAGAGGTGTAGGAAATTCGCCAGCCAGACTTGATTGAAGTTAGACTGAGGCGAGGTAACGGACATATAATAAACGTGGACTAGTATAGACAGGTTAATTAAGTTATACAAGCTAGTTGGGAAATAGCCTACTCTATAAAGCCTGAGCTAATAAACAATAATAAAAAGTCTCCGTGTCATTATTGGGAGCTGGCAGGTTGAGACGGTCCAGCTATAGTTTTCTTTGAAGGATTTATTCATTTCCTCCAGTTTGTGTTTTCCTGGATTTCTTTTAGGGATTCATTTATTTCTTCTTCAAGGATCTCTATCATATTCATATAGTTGGTTTTAAAGTCTGTGTGTGTGTGTGTGTGTGTGTGTGTGTGCTTTGACTATTTTGGATGTTCAGGGCCTGCTGTGTTAAGGTAGCTGGGCTCTGGTGGTGACATATTGCCCTGGCTATTACTGATTATGTTCATATCCTGGCATCTAGGCATTTGGATTTGTGATGATTATGCATCTAGCTGCTTATTTTTGGTTTGTCGTTTTTAAGTGGGTGTTTCGTTCTTCGGTTTTGTTTGTTTTCTGGATTTTCAGAGTGTGTTGGCTGCGTGTTGGGTTGCTTGTTTTATTGGCCTGCTCTGCTGGTGTGTTCTTGGCGAATGCTTGCTGTTGTGGAGGCTGGAGGAAGGGAAGTTCAAGGGGAGATGGTCTGTTGCAGCATTAGGGGTGACCGTGAGAACTGGGTCTGGAGGAACAGAGAGAGTGGAGGTCTGTGGGCAGCCTACCTGGTCTTCGGGCAGGCTTGTCCTCGGGCAGTGTCCACACGAGGTTGGGGCTGGGACTCAGTGATGAGGGGTGAGGGAAGGCTATGGGGGGGGGGAGAGGGATGGTCTGTGGGATCCATAGGAGCATGGATAGGGAGTAAGGGAGTAAGGGAGGCTGTAGCTGGTGTTCTGTTTCAGCATTAGGGACGACATTCAGGATTGGATCTGGGGAGCATGGAGAATGGGGAAGGTCTCCCGAGACAGTACTTCTCGGTGCAACATTATCTGTCCTGGAACCCCCTCTGTAGACCAGGCTGGCAACGAATTCATAGGTCCATTTCACCTCTGCCTCCCAAGTGCTGGGAAGGCGTGTGCCATTACATACAGCTTACATACAGAATTGTTAATATTAGCTTCCTGCACTGGACTGTAAGCCAGGGACCTGTGTGTTCATAGATCATTTGTTCCTCTAGGCTAAACCCATTAGTGCACACCACAGCCTAACATGGTGCCTGGCACACAGTAGCCAGCAAACAAATGGGTGACAAAAGCGCGGTAGCTACAGGCTAGGTTAACTTCCTTTGCACCGCCTCACTGTGGGCTGCCACTCAGCCGAGCGCTCAGGGCTCAGCTTCCCCCGTGACGTCACGCGGGGCGGGACTTCCGGCCGCCCAAGTTTTAACAGTCCAGGCGGGAGCCGGAAGCGCAGCGAGGAGCGGGTAAGAGCTGGGCCAGTTGAGAGGTGAGGTTCCAGAGGGCGGCGGGCTGTGTGCTCGGTGTCCAGGGCCGCGGCGGGCGGCGGGCGGCGGGGGATCCGGGATCCGCGTCCTCGGCGGCTGCGGGCGCGCGCGGCGGAAAGTGGCCGGGCGGGACGGGGTCGCGGGCCCGAGGGCTGCTGCCCCGGGCCGCCCGCTCGCCCCGAGCTGCCGAGCGTAGCCGCCGGCGGCCTGCGGTGAGTTCCGAGGAAAGCGACTGCCGAGAACTCCTCCTCAGCGGAGTGTGCCGTTGGTCGCCGTCGTTCTCTCTCCGGACCCTCTCTGCGGGACGGATGTCAGAGCCCCGAGGCGGAGCGAGGGAACCGGGGGTAGGCTCCGCGAAGTCAGCATCACTTAGAGTGGGCAGGTCGCTCAACTCAGCCCCGGGGACCCGTGATGCACCCGGGTACCACACTGCCCAGTAGGCACTTTGTGTGGGGTTATAGTAGCAACATCTTGCAGTTGTGTTTACTGCTCTTAAAGAGTTCTACTCTGCCACGCCTTCGTTTCCTCCAGCCGGGGTCGAGGGGCCGTAGGGTACACGTTTCAGTCACCAAAGAGAAACCTTGTCTGCATTTCAACAGGTGACTCTACAAGTTTTTAGAAGCACTTGGCAGGGCGAGTCTACCGCGGAACCATCCATACAATACAGTATCCCGAAAGCACAGCGAATCATGGGACTTTCTGGCAAAAAGTTTTATCCTTTCCATGAGCCTTAAAACTTCTTTTTCCTCTTGGAAATGAACTGTTTCTGCCTTGTGCTTTTTACTTTCTCCACTGGAGCACATTGGAGATAAGTGTGGTGCTTTGTGGTTGATATGGGCGCCTCTCTGTGATCCCTGTTGGTCTGGTCTATGACACTGGTGGGTAAATTCAGCGCCCACGGGGAATTAGTTCAGTATATTGAAGCAGCTATAGTATCCTTAAAAAAGAAAAAATAACCACTTCTTATTAGACATCAAGTATCTATGAAACAGTGTTGACCTATAAAAGGAAATAGATTTTGTGTGGCTGCCATAGATTAAAAAAAAAAAGGATTAGAAATAGTACATATGCTGTGCCCTGGTTTTCTTAATTGATTTTATTTACAAAACAACAACAAAAAACTGTTGCAACCCACTTCTTTCAAACTAATTTCTGTATATTAGTTTTTAGATATAGGAAGTAGAATTAGCTGTATTGTCAAGGGTTTATTATTGGATAATAATACAATACTCTTGTTGATTGCTTGTTTTTGTTTTCTCAAGACTTTTTTTTTTTTTTTTTTTTTTCAGAGCCCTGGCTGGCCTGGAACTAGGTCTGTAGACCAGGCTGGCCACCAGCACCACTACCACGCCCTGTAATACAGTTCTCTTGTACCGCCCATACTGGGTTTGGGAGTATGTTTCCCTGCTTTCTCCTCTCCTATGTATTATCTTGTTTTGTTTTGAGACAGGGCTTCTTTGTAGCTCTGTCCTGGAACTAGCTCTGTAGACCAAGCAGGCCTTGAACCCTTGGGAGATCTGCCTGCCTCTGCCTCCTGAGTGCAGGGATTAAAGGTGTGGCTCACCATTCCAGCCTTCTCCTGTTTATTTTTAAATACTTTGTCTTCCATACACCTACTGCCCTTCAGAGTGTCCGGAGCAGCTTCTCTGCTCTCTGAATAGACAGCTTTGGCTTGTGGCATCATTTTGTCACAATTATTGGAACACCACATTGAATAAAAAGTGAATGATATTGGGCCAAGTATTGGTACTAGGATACTTTGGCAACTTCTTTAACCATGTTGCTAATTTTAGAAAACTTGGGATAATGGGATTCAGACTTCCAGGAATGCTAGATATGGCCCTTTCTTTTCTTTTTCTTTCTTTCTTTCTTTTTTTTTTTTTAAGATGAGTACATTATTTAATACAGTTTTTTTTTTTTTTTTGGTGTGTGTGTGTGTGTGTGTGTGTGTGTAGTAGTGTAGTAGTTACGGATCAGGAATATGTCAAAACTCCTATGTGAGGAGGCAAACATTGTTATGGGAACAAATAAGGCAACAGAAGTTCCATGAAAAAAAATTGAATCGGGTGGTGGTGGCATATAGGGTCGCTGGTAAAGGGCTGACCTAACTTTTCGAAGCAGAGATGTTTTGAGACCAGAATGATAAGGAGGTGCTTTTGGGGAATCTGAGGGCAGCTTTCCAGGTAGAGCAGGGAAGCAGGTGAAGAGACACTAAGATGAGGATGGCCTTGGCTGGATGCATAGGTGTGAAGAAGGCCAGTTTCCAGGTCTGGTGGCCTGAGGTGGGAAAGCCACATGGGCATGCATGCACCGTAAGCCAGGCTGAGGAGGTTGGATTTATTGTAGTTGCTGGTGGGACCCGTGGAAGGCTGAGCTAAGAGATTGTGATTGGCTGGTATTTGGATCACACTTACTACTTTGTAGTGTATGTGCTGTTTGGAATAAAAGTGGACAGAAATGGACAAGTAACACCACTGCCTTTAGGTTCGGGGCATTTCAACTTTTAAAAAATGGCCTTTTTGTAACTGTGTTTTAAACTTTTTCTACGCCCAGTCATGCAGGAAAACCTCAGATTTGCTTCATCAGGAGATGATATTAAAATATGGGATGCTTCATTTCTGACCCTGGTGGATAAATTCAACCCCCACACGTCACCACATGGAATCAGTTCAATATGTTGGAGCAGCAATAGTATCCTTTTAAAAAAAAGTAACCACTTTTTATTTTTATAATCATTGAGACTGTATTGACCCATAAAAAGAAAAATATTTTGTGTAGATTTAAAAAAATCATAGTACATATGTATGCAATCTAATTTTCTCTTAAAATTTTTTTTGGTTGCAGCCCACTTGAACCTCATTCACACTTGCTGAATCTTTTTATTAGTCTTCCGATACAGGCAGTAGAATTAGTTTCATTGCCTACAGTCATTATTGAATACATGGAGTTAGGTAAGAACAAGAGAGCATCTGGAAGATTTCAGAATGTTTTTTCTGCATCTCCATTTGGGTATTTGTGAATCTGATCTGGAAATCATTGAGAGCTTGGGGGCAGAAGCAAGACGGGAAGAGATTAAAAACACAATTGATCATCATTTTCGTCTTATTGATGATATGCTTGGATTTCCCTTTTCTGGCATTGAAACAGCATGACTTCCCAAGAGACAAAAATGGGTTGAGTTTCCCTGCACTCTTCTGAGTGGTACACTCCCTGTGTTGGTGAGCTTCTAGATGGGGAAAAGGGTGCCTGTAAGATAGTCTTTATCACCCTCGCATCATTGACATTTTGGGTCTGGCAGGTCTTTGTCATGGGCTTTCCTGGGCATTAGGGATGCTTGGAAGTGTTCCTGGCCTCCACAACCACTAAATGCCTTTAACTCCCAGTTGTGATGCTCAAAAAATGCCTCCGAGTTGCTAGACTCACTCGCAGTGGAGGGCCTCTTGTAGATGAAGCACTCTTAGTTTTCTTGATGTGGAAATACTCTGTCATTGGTGTGCTAGAAATTAATCTTATGTGAAACACAGCACTGTTTTGAAACAACCATTAAGTGTTAAGAATTGTCTGGTTTTTACCAGTATTAAAGTATTAATATTCTTCCTGATGAAAGGGAGACTGACAAGGCTTTAAATATGACTGATTTATGAACAAACATATTAGGATTCTCTAATTGCAAATGCCTGTTCTTACACGTACATATCAAATGACAACTTCTCTTATTGAATTAAATTTCCCTCTTGATCATTCCTTGATTTTTGCATTAGAGCAGTGAAACCAATTACTTCAGTGCTCTATTAATCAAACTTGTGTGAAGGACTCTTCAGCCTGTCGTCTCGTCACGTGGAAACTATTTTAAGGAGAGTGGCAAGTGTATGAAGTTCATCCTTTCTATTTTTAGCTTTTAATTGTGTTTACAGCTTCATTTTTTATCCTGGGATTGTTGGAGAAAAAAAAAAAAACACAATTCTTAACATGATGTGTTGCCCTCTTTCCCCTCCCTCCCCTCACCATCCTCCTGGGCTTAGCTTTGTTTTAGGGAGTATTAACAGGAGCTGGCATTGACAAGTACCCTCCTTAATGGCTGGCATGGCAATGAGGTAGTGCTGTGTGACTTTAAAAAGTTGTTCTTGTTTCTGTGCAAAGAGCTTCATGTTAGCCATGCTGCTAGTGAGGCCGTGGTTCCTCATGCCAGTTGTTACTGAAGAACAGAGTTCCAGACACACACAGCAACTCAGAGTCCAGTGTATGAATTCCAAGAACGAGGTTAGTACAAGGTACCAAGGAAGTTAGTTTTCTTTATTACGGTTTCCTTAGGTGATGTTCCTCACGTCTCTCGTGCCTCCGAAAACTGCAAGAACACTTAGAAACTAGTTTCCCCTCTTTTATTTTCCTGTGGTTCTTTTTCTGAGTTCTGAGAAGTGAAGTGTGGCAAAGAAAAGAAGCCGTCGATGGTGTCTCACTGTGGCACTGTGTTGGTAGAAATGATTTTATTTCCCCTACAGATGATGCATGTAGATTGCTTTGTAGTTGATAGAGGAACTTGCACTCAGCACTTACCAGGGCCTGCTCATTTCAGAGATGTGTAAGTACCTGGAGTGAAAAAGCAAGCCTGTAGTTGTGTTAGAAGAGAGGGCATTAGCAACTAGCTCTGTGGATTTCAGCACTATGTGGATTCATTTGATAGTCCAGGGGCCAGAGAAACCTGGACTCTGTCTTCATGATGAACAGTTCATGTTGATGGCAGCTTCGCAGTTACTTGAAGACTTCATTGTTGGGGTAGAAGATGACGCTGTTCTTGACTCCAGTGGAGGTCAGACATGGTTCAGACTAGATAAACTTTATTATTTTTTTAAAATGGTATTTTTTTCTGGGGATGAAACTCAGTTGGTAGAGGCTTTGCCTATCATGAGTAAAGCCCTAAGCTTGATTGTAAGCAAGATGTTCTGTCAGGCGCCGCAGTGCATGCCTGAAATGTTAGCATTTAGGTGGCAGAAGTAGAATGGGCAGAAGCTCAAGGCTGTTTGAGGGTGCCAGATGAGCTCTGAAGGCATTTGAGCTGTATCAAAAAACAGAACAAACAAAACAAGAACAAAACAAACAAAACACCCAAAACTGCTCCAGTTTTTGATCAAGTTGTAAACATCTGTCATGCACACTACTATCAAAGTAATATAGTTAGTATTACCTACATGTTTTTGTTGCTTCCATGCATACACTTGCTTCCTAAAGTTGAAAGTTTAAAATTCCTGTATTTTGGAGACAGGAAGATGGCTCAGAGGGTAAGGATGCTCGTTGCTGACCTTGATGAGCTTAATTTCCTGAACCCAGTTGCTGGAAGGAGAGAGTGACTTCTGTGAGTGTCTCCTGACTCCCAAAACCAGAATGTGATGTGCGGGTGTGCATACACAGACAAATAAATGTAAAGCATTCTGATAGTTTAATGTGCTATGACTTTTGAAATCAGAATTCAGTTATAATCATTTTGGTTTAAAATACATTGTTTTGTGTTTATTTGTTACTTATGTATAATTTATATAGAGTAAAGTAATTAAAATTTTAAGCTAAGATTAATTTAAAATAGTTTAAGTTCATAACATGCTGTTTTCATTTAGCCACACTCAGTTGTGTTCGCTCTACTCTGGTAGTCATTCAGAATTTATTCATGGTTGAAGCATATGCAACAGTGATTCTGGTCCTGAGAAAATATCAGTCTTCATTTTTCTGTTGGAAAGAATAGAGAGTGAGTGATGTTGTCGGTCCTGAGTGCTGGATCAATAAGTAGGTCCCTGACAGATTTTGTTCATAAAAAGCTGATTATTATTTGCATATGCTGCTTTTATCGTGCTCACTTCTGACAGGATAAAATTAGACGTCTGGCTCGCTCTGGAAGGGAGTAGTGTTTCACATTGGGCTAAGTAGCTTTCCAATGATAGCGTAGCTGGAAGGGATGGTTCTTCCCTGCAGTACTGAAAAAGAGAATCGGTAATTGGTAACTGGAACCATTTTGAAAGCTTGTGTATGAGCTGTGTTTGTGTACTTGTCCCCGATGGCTTACATGACTGTGCTCCCATGACCATACTTGGGGGCTGTGGGTGCCCATGGACTGTTTGATGCTTCCTAACTCTTCATTCAGATAACTTTCTAGTGACAGCATCTTCCAGTGGTGACAAAATAGTGGTGTCAAGTTGCAAATGTAAACCCGTCCCACTTTTGGAGCTTGCTGAAGGGGTAAGTTATTTGCTTTTTAAATTGTTTAAAACCTCAGTTGCTTAAGTGACAGTGGCTTACTTGTTACAGTCCTTTGTGTTTAAAGACATTTTTCACCTAAACTCTGAGTGATACAGTAACAGGGCGGGTGTGTTATCTCACCTAACAGGTTGTTAGATGAGATTAAAGTGTGTCCTAGGAGAGTAGTTGAGACCTTAGGTTTCATTAGGAAGGCCCTCTCTCTGTTGCCCCTCTTGTTGACTCATGACTAGGTCACTAGGCTGACTTGACCTTACGAACTCTCATGATGTAACTGCCCCTGGGTGCAATGTCATCAACAAAGGCTAGTTCTGAAGGTGCCCTTCTGCTTTAGATGCTGGCCACTTAGCACTCAAGCGTCTGCCCCAGCCCTCCTAAGCACCTGAAAGAGATCAGCCTCTTTGCTGAGTCCTGGGCCCACAGCGCACAGTGAAGCTCTCACTGAATATTATTTTTTCTCCTTTTGTTTTTTAAGTTCATTCAGGATAGTACTGGTTTCCTCATTTCCATTCATACATTCACAAAGGCTATTCTTCAAAGAGAATAACACCTAACAAAAAAAAGTATAGCTTGTTCTTGCTGCTGCTGCTACTGCCTTTTCTTTCTTTCATTAAATTTCACTTCCAGCCCAGGTGTGGAAGCTTAGAGGCAATGTCTGATAAAGGCAGAATGGGAGTTTGAGGCAGACGGCGCTAAGTTAAGTTGAAGAAGAGCCTGTCCTTGGTCATTAGGTAAACTGCACTCCTACATAATGGTCACAGCAACTAGGGTGACAGGACCTAGGCGTCCTTTGAAGAGTGGCCAGAGGCTGCTGCTGAGTTTAATGTCAAAGCTAGACCAGTTTCTCCAACCTTCATAAGATCAAGGTGCATTGTGTTTTAAAATTGACATTTAGCACCTTCAGCACCCCCCCCCCTTTCTTTTTTCATCTATTTGATTGTGTTTTTGTTTATTTGGACAGTCTCCTGTGTAGCTCTGGATGTCTGGAACTTGCTGTTTAGGCCAAGCTGGCCTTGAAGTCATAGAAATCCACCTGTCTTTGCCTTTTTAGTGTTTGGATTAAAGGCATGAGCTACTAAGCTCAACACCTCCCACTTTAAAAAGAAAAGTATACTTTGTGCTTTTATACTTCAAATTCCATTGTATACCTTAACACTTTAACAGATGATGTGTACATATGAGAGTCATCCTGAGGACTTGGTGAACATTCCCATTCTTTTGTATAATTTTAGCTCTGCCCAATTTAAGACATTGCATTATAAAGCAGGTGGACAAATGAGTTCATTAGAGTTCTAATTTTGAAGGTACTGCAGTTACAAAAGCTTTTATAAACACTTTAAATAAAGGAATTTATTAGGAATTTATTGTGACATGTCAGCACTCTAGTCATTGTTTGGGTTAGGTTCCAGCCCTATTAACTCACATGCTGTTTGAGCTATCTGGCCTTTTCTGCTTGGGAAAAGAAATTTCCACCCTACTTATTTTAAAATTATTTCTAGAATGAAATTTTAGGTTGACGATTTTGTTTTTAATTTTGTGTATTTCCTCTTTGAAGTGGTAGGTTGGTATTAACGGTATTAACATGCCCATAGTGGGCTACAAAATAACTTTGAAGTGTAGCCACTTTGTTTTTAGATTTAAGAAATTACATGTTTTTTTTTTTTTTTTTTGTCTTCTGGGTACAGAGTCTATAAAACCATACAATATCTATTAATTATATAAGTTCATTAGATGCATTAAAGTATGTTAACATAAATGGTCTTCTGTCCTCCAGGTAAGCTGGAGGTTTAAGTGTAGGTTTTGTTCTGAGCCCTTAATAATTGTACCAGTGCCAGCTGACATCCTAGTGTATCAGCCTTTGGTGGCCACTGTCCTGAACTTGTTCTTTTCATGGTTATGGTAATGGTTATTGGAACACTTTGATTTGCAGTGCTGTTCATTTCTAGGATGACACCTGCAAAAACGGAGAGCACTGATGTGGTGTGCCTCCTGATCTTTTTATGCGTGTTAGTTGATATTGTTGGCTAAATGGTAACAGAAATCTTGATTGGTCCAGTGAGGATGCGGAAAGGGGACCATCGTAAGAGTTTCTTTGGAGCAGAGACTGGTCTGGGGATGCGTGACTCAGGGTAGCAACAGTTGATGTAGTGCTCATCTCTTTGCTTCAGACTTACATGCAGACATGTGAAGTGACAGGCCTAAGCCTACGCAGCTTGCCTCTTGGTTAAGTCATGAAGTCTTCTTTGTTATTTTTCTTTTTTTTTGTTTTTCATGGCATTCAACTGGAATTTAGAACAATTAATTAGTGTAGCTTCATTCTGCTTCTGTAGGTTAAATAAAACGCTGCAACAGTGCCCAGATCCTGTGTTCCTGATGGCACTAGGGGGCACATACTTCCTGCGAGAATAGCTTGATAGCCTCTGCTGTTCTGTACAGATAACATTATTCTGTATTGTTGGCTAAATGTGGTTGTAATCTTTTAAGAAACTGGCTTTCTGATTTCAGGCAGACAATAAACTTTGAGCAAAGATGCCTAAGAGCCTGGAAAGTCGTTTTACAGAGAACTAAAATACTGCTGCAGAAAGTTACACTAAATGGCCAACGGAGGTTGCTTTAAGAACCTTTTGTCGCCTTTTGACCAGGCAGAGCCATCAGTCTTGGTTCAGTGAATTTCACTTCTGGGCTAGGAGAGTAGCTATTTCGAAGCCTTGAGGCAGTTAGAAGATTGCTGTGTTAGGACGCAAGGCTGTTTATTGATGGAGAATTAGTGCATGAAAAAGAAAATAAGAACAGAGTAGGACAGGGCCCAGACAAATGTGCCTCAGACAGCAGGTTGATGGGCGTGGCGTTTCTTCTACGTATTCTTGGAAGCCATTGAAAACCCAACTCTGGCGTGCTTTTTTGTTTTGTTTGGGTCCTCTTATTTAATGAGGGATGGTCTTATAGGAAGTAGGAATGGAAACTGGAAAACTAGTTAGAAGGCTACTGCTAAATTTGGGCAAAGTTTTGGTTAGTGGCAGTAATATATTTAGATGCAGGGAAGCATGTGGAATTTATTGTAGGATTGGATTTTCCTAGACCTTGTTAATAGGTTGGGACCAGGGTGACAAGGAATTGAGGGTTTTTCAGCAACTTTACCGTGGTAATTTGTGCCCTTGCTGAACTGAGGAACAGTGTGAGGCCAGGTTTCTTGATTTATGTGTATGCCTTTGCTTTGGTAGTGGGTTTCCTGCATGCTCACACCTGCTCAGTTGTCAGCCATAGCACCACAGCATTTGTCCCTGAGGTCTGGATTTGGTGACATTCTTGAGAATTGCTGGGTGAGATTTGTTGGTTTCTTGACCTCTTAAAATGAATGGATAATGAGAGGTGAAATCTTTAGTTGCAAGTATCAGCATCTTTATGCTTGTAATTCACAGTCCTGACTACTGTATTGGGTAAGATCTATCATCTCTGGGCTCTGCTAAGCTAATTTTATTTGTTTGTTTAAATAGCAAAAGCAGACATGTGTCGACTTAAATTCTACATCGATGTATTTGGCAAGTGGAGGCCTAAACAATACTGTTAATATTTGGGATTTAAAGTCAAAACGAGTTCATCGCTCTCTTAAGGTAAGCAAATATATTTACACTATGTTTATAGAATGAGTAGCTCACACTCTTTTTGGAATGGTTACCAAACTTTGCGCTCATAATTGAAGTGCTTTAGAATTGAAGTGAGAGCTATTGCGGCAGATGTAGGTGCTGTCCAGCTGAAACTTGTTTTCTTCATAAAAGTTGTTGATGCATGTTGCAGTTTCCTTTTTTTTTTTTTCCCATGTATTTCTGTTGTTTTGAATGAACTGCTTCTTTGAAGTTTTCTTTTTTTTTAAGTAGTTTTGTCATCAATTTTTTTAAAGGGGTTTTGGAAAAATGTAGTTCTGGACTTCAGTAACAGGGTTGAGGGTTTAGTCTCTTAGTTCCATGGCGCGTTTAGCTGCCACTATTGAGGATATTTTTGCTTGCGTCTTTTTAAGCTTAACAATGAAATAGTTGTTAAAATAATTTACTATTTAAAATTAGTGTTCCCGCAGGTAACTCTTTGTAGTTTTAGAAAATAAACACACTCATCCCAGGAAAGTGTGGTTGAGACTTTCTTAACTCTTTTATTATGATTATGATTATGATTATGATTATTAATAATATTTAGAAGGGACTGCAAAGTTATATGTAAGTTTGTCATTTAAAAATATTTAATAGAAAATTTTAAATATTTGTGTATACGTCCTCCCCTGCATGCACAGAGAACTTCCTTTTACTGTTAGCTATGTTCTTCATTGTCTGACATCGTTTTGTGTCCAGTAATGTTTTATCTGTGTCCTTGTGTGCTCTCTAGTAATCCCATCTCCAAACTGTGGTATAGTAAAACTCAGACATTTTAATGTGTGTCTTAGCGTCATTGAGCTAATTCTAAAGGTACCTTTTGAAGAATAGTTCTCTCACATAACTAAACTGAGACACAATCCTGTAATTGCTTCTGGAAGTTTATTATTTTAAGCATACCTAAACTTTGAAGAGCCTTTAAACTCTGCTTTGGAAAACACATGTAATGGAAGAGTTGCTCCTAATGAAATAGTTAGCATTTGTCTAAGTCCCTTACTCTGCTGGCTACGTGCCTGCAAATGCTTATTCTGTTTATTTCAGTGCGTCTGCAAAGCAGAAGAATATTCTTATGGGTGGTGGACAGACTGGGTTAGATATTAATGAACTTGTGCTTTGTCAGCTTCATGGTGGTCTGTATATGTACAGACCTTATTCTTTGTGTAGTATTTCAGTTGTGCACTATTTGACTTCACATTGCTTAGAGAGATGCACTCATTCCCAGTAAGTAGCGACTGTCTCACTCAGCTAAAAGAGGGGAGTCTAACCAGACTGTCAGAGATCTTCTTGGCCTCCATCTCCTCCATTGCTCAATGGCAATATTCTACTCATTTTCTGTCCTCCGTTTTCTTAATTCAAATAGCCTTTTATCTTCATATCCTTTCAAATCTTAGAATGCTGTGTTGTCTATTTTAGAAGCATTTGTCTCATTGATAAAACTTTTTCTTTTGCCTTTGAGTTTCTTATCTACTACGGTCTTCTTCCTAGTGATGGGAGACTGGTTTCTGGGATTTGTTGGTGCACAGTAAATGTTTTCTGTTGATGTATTTTCTACAGCTGAAATTAGGAAGACACCTCCTTTCCAGTGTCACAGAAATTCTATTGGATGACACACTTTAATTCCCTATGACAATAATGCACAAAATGTTACTTCTTTGTGTCAAAAATTTTCTTTTCCTGAGGCAGTTTTGCTTTGATAGAAAAGGGGGAAGTGTTTGAAGGGTCATTTGATAAAGCTGTAAGTGTGATATCCTAGCTATGCTAGTCTTGATAGTCTGTTAGTTCTTGTGTACTAAGTTTAGTATATCTCTCTTAGTAAGTAATAGAACACCACATTGTTGAAAAACAAAACAGTCCCCAAACCCTACCTTCTAAGAGAGATCAGTGTTACATGTTCCTGCTAAGCATCTCTGATTTGCTGTTTGGCAACAATCCTTGTTAACTCAGTTTGTTCAAAGACTTGGACTTCTCATTTCTTCAAAGTAGAGTCTGTTCCTATTTGGAAGGCAGTCTGTTGTTTTGGCGTTTGGAGCTGAACCCTGGTGTGTCACTTAGCACATATGTAAGGTGCACCAGGCTCAAGCTTCCATGTCTTGTGTGCCTCTCTATAGATGGGAAAATGACATGGTCTCTTAGTATTCCCACTAGTCTGTGAAGCCCCAGCCAAGAAGGCACTCAGCCAGTGGACACAGCTGCTGTCTGTTGTCACCAGCTCAGTTGTTGCTTTTTCTCCCACTTTGTCATGTCTGATTTTCTTCCTTTCCCATAACTCTGGTCTTGTTTTATTCATTGCCTTATCTGTCTTTTAAGACAAGACCTTGCTATGTCCAGGTTAACCTAGAATTGTATGTGGTACAGGCTAGTCTTGAACTCATGACCATCCTTAGTGCTGGGATTACTTGTGCTATCACTCCTCACTCTCTTTTCTTTAAGGTTGAACTCACTATTATGTCTCTCTCTTAGTTCAGTTGACAGTGATATATGTTTTTCTCCTTTTGATCCCCTAATTTCATTGTTTATTTAGCATTTGCTTTGTCATTTTGGTGCTAATTTTAGTGTCTTCTAGTTGAACAGTAATACTCAAGAACAGACATTTAACTTGAAGTAAATGTTATCTATCAGTGGGAGGCAGGCAGTTCTGTAAGGTGAACATTAAAGTAAGTGTCTGTTCTAGGTTGTTTATTGTTTCAGAGTCCGTGGAAATGTATTATGGCTCTGAGAAACTGCCTTCTGCGGAGACTTCATGTTGATTGTGTGGTGTCCAATCAGCTCAGTAGTGTTGTGTTGGAAGGAAAACTTTAGCACAGGTGTTGATTGACAAACTGCTATTTTCTGTTTATCACAATTTGGGGGCTAATGGCTGCTGTTGCTGAATTTGTTTCTTTCAGGATCATAAACGTGAAGTAACTTGTGTGGCATACAATTGGAATGACTGCTACATTGCTTCTGGGTCTCTCAGTGGGGAGATTATCTTACACAGTGTAACCACTAATACATCCAGTACACCTTTTGGCCATGGAAGTAAGCAGGTATGGTGTTTTTGTTTTTTTTTTTTTTAATGAAGTTGATAACTTATATTTTTAATTATTTTACGTAAAAAAGTAAGTTTAAAATTTTTAACATTTAAAAATTTTATTTGGCTTTCTGGAAAATGCCTAGCTAATTTTTAATGGTAGTTTTTGAAAAAGAGGAAGTAAGCTAATATATACTAGAGTACTTGTATGAATTTACTTCTGTAGTTAAATAGTTTATCTTTCTATCCTATAACTGTTTTTCTAACAAAATGCACTTGTTTGTACTTAGTCCATTCCCTGCTAACATTATTTGAAAAATTCTAGAGATGGTTCCAGTAAGGTTAAATTTTAAGGTGAATATGTTGTGTTTGTGTTGTGCTTTGTATTCGGGAACATAAGAAACCTGTAAACATTTGCCTGGCTTTTTAGTAATGTAGAAACTAGTTATGGCCATGTGTATTTCATGCTCTGCTCTCAGTATTTTGCTAGAGTCCTATAACCTATGTAGAGGACTTGCCACGATTTGCTGTTTCACACCCAGTGGTCACTGAGTTACACTGCATGCTCCTCATGGAGGCTTTGACGTAGTACGTTGGTCTGAGCTTACAGTTAATTCCACTCCTTCAGTTCCCAGAACGGACTGACTCGAAGGTCCGCTGCTCTTGTAGCCTTGCTTCCTCTTGGCTCACTGTCTAGCTTGGTGGAAGCCATGAGTGATTACTTAAGATTGTGAATATCTGGAGCTTCTGGGCACAGTTGCAAGATATATTAATTTAAGGAAATGGCAATAGTGCCATGTCTTTCATATCTGTGACCATGGGTTCTTGGCCAGGTTTACAGTGTTAGGCACAGGTTCTCTCCTGTTGGTTCCCTCCTATTTGGACTTAAGTCCAAATAGACAACTGTCAGTTCACTCCCAAATATACGTGCCAATATTCCCCTGCTGTGGTATCCTGCTGGGCCAGTTGTCATTACAGCTGGGTAGGACTGTTGAGAACTTTCCTCCTTTGGCAGCTTACACAGCACCTTCTAGGACGATGTGAGCCCATCCTCAGGGAGGGGCCTTCCAGCTCCTGTCAGAACAGGCTTGATTCCTCAAGCCCTGAGACAAAAACATGCGGTGTTTTCAGCAGTAGGGTCTTACCTTCCAATTTTGGAGGGCAACAAAGGGCATTGGCCATAGCCTGTGCTGTCTGGGGGTCTTTTGGACTTCCCTGACCAATCGTCAGAAGGCAGTTTCATGCTTAGTACTGTGAAGTGGTGCTTCTTAACCTTACTGCTGTGATTTTGAATACAGTTCCTCATGTCGTGGGGTCCCCAACCATAACAGTTTTTCTTTTTTTTTTTAAGAGGGTTTCTCTGTGTGTAGCTTTGGCTGTCCTGGACTTGCTTTGTAGACCAGCCTGGCCTGGAACTCACAGAGATCCACCTGCCTCTGCCTTCCTGAGTGCTAGGATTACAGGTGTGTACCACCACACCTTGTTTAAAATTATTTTCATTGCTACTTTTTAACTAGTTTTGCTACTGTTATGAATCATACTCTTAGGCAACTTCTGTGAAAGGGTCATTTGACCCTTCAGAGTGGTCATGATCCACAGGTTGAGAACCATTTGTCTATGGCTTTTGGAAACATTATCACCTCAAGTGGTATAAGTTTATTTGGTCTGTGCCTGTGTGTGTGTGTATACGTACATATATGTAATTTTATGTAAACATAAAATAATACAATTCCCATTGGCTTTTTCAAGCATCTTCAAAGTTATTTAACCTCCTCCCTTTGTATTACCCTTCCTCCCTAGGTAAGGCCCTCCACTTCTGTTTTTTCCCTTTCCTTCTCCAAAGATCTGGGGTCCTACTATTCCCCCTGTAGGGCTCCTCCTCACTCCTTTCCTGTAGCCACAACTAGTAGATAAGACACTAGATGGAGGATGTAATGTTTATTCATATCCCTTTCTCACATGAAAAGAACAAAGCCCTTAAAATCTTAGGTGATGGATTGCAGCACAGTTAATTTTTCAGGGAATTTTAATTGATTAGTTTGCATCAGAAAACTGAATTAAGTTTTCTAGTTTGGGAAAACAGTAATGCACAGAGCTCATCTCCACTGTGAGTCCAAACCAGTCAGAACTTGAGCTTACCCTAGGCATGCTACCTCCTGGGGCAGTTTCACCTCTGCAGGAGCTGTAGTGGGCTTTGTATTTACTTTGCAGCACTAGGCTAAGAGATCAATGAGTGTCAGCTGCTGTAGGGAGTTTTTAATGAATTGTTATATCAAGACATTAAAATCACTTCTCTGATTTACTTCCTCAACATGGTTTAAACATCTTCAGTTTATGTACTCCCCTCAACTCTCTACTCCTCCTGGGACAAATGAGGTTGTTTTTTTTTTTTTTTTTTTTTTTATACACCATTTTATATTCTTTGGTAAGCTATACCATTAAGAGAAAAACACTTAGGCAAGGAAATAGAAGTTGGCCACTTTGTCCATAGAGATCAGTTCTATATCTCTTAGGAAAGTCAGTGTACTGATTCTGCATACTCTGGGTTTACGTCACATAATTGAAGTACTTGGGCATTTTTACATTAGCTTTTTCTTACAACTCAATTGCAGTTTACCTATTATTACCACAAGCACAGAATTGTCACTTGTATTTATTTAAAAATTCTCTTATACGCTTTCTTAAAACTCAATTAAGAGTTTAAACATATTAAGTACTCATTTAAAATTTTAAGTAGTTGATAAGAAAGTGTATCACACTGATGTTTTTAAATTCAGATATACCATTGTTCAGCTCAGTTTTATGTTGGTTGATTTTTACTGTGCCTAGGCTCTGGTTTATTGAGAAAAAGTAGTAGTTAGGATATATCCATGATCAAATTCAAAATTTTATTTTTGTTTTTATAAACAACCAAGTATTTGAAGTTGTACTAATCACCCAAATGGCTTTTTAGAGAAAGTGATAGATCTTTGGCATCTCACTGAATCTACACCAGACTGATATTCGTATCAGAAATGATGCTGCCTGAATATATTTAAAGTCTTACTTTGAAATGTCTGAGTTGAATTGAAGCTATTAGTTTTTGTCTTTCTCTAAGGAAAAAAGGAGCTGCACTGCTTCTGAGGAGCTGCTGGCTGAAGGCTTCCTAAGATGTAATTGCATGTCAACTCACTCAGTTTAACTCCTGTTGCCTTTTCCCAAGCAGTTAAAAATGTGGATCTGTGTTACAGATGCCTTAGATTAAAAAGAAAATTTTAGGTAAAGCAGATGAGATTTAAAAATATACCACAGTACATGTTTAAACCCATTTGTTTTCTTTAAGTGAAATTTTGTTTAATATATAGATTTTATAAATATTAATAAGCCTGCTTGAGTAGAGAGATGTTGTAAATGTAAGCAATTACCTTTTAAAATGATAATTATTTTGTAAAGAATGAGCTTAGGGCTGGGATATACCTCTGCTGTAGAAACACTATCAAGTCCTGAGTTGTATTCCTGGCACTCCAGAAATTTTTTAAGTATAATTTTCTTTGTATTTTACATGGATTTATACTAAATATGTGACTACAGAGCTTTATTTCTAGACTAAGCTTACAGGAGCATTAGTATAATTTATATTGGGGAAAATGTTTGATACGATAACACATCCTTAATAATCTTTGTATTTCCTTAGCATTTGTTATATTCTTACCTAGCCCCTGTATTATATTCTTAAGCAGTTTTATTATTATGTAAGTATAAAATAAGTTGATAATTTATACTTATTTTCAAAGATATTATTTATGTTTTTATTTTTTTAACATTAATGGAAATTATTTGAAAAGTATTATCTTATGTGTTTCCATATATAGCTTTGTCTTTCTTACACAGTAATTTTCTTTGTCTAAACTGGTTTTCTGCCTTTTGTCATTGTATTGTGTCCCAGTTATGCTTACATTAATCCTCCTAACTAATCTTCATTGTTTGTATGCGTTTTACTACTTTATGTCACTGTTTACCAAAAGATTCTTCTGTTCTAGATCTTTTCCCAATTTTTTATAATCACAACCAGCACTATATTTTAATAATATTAGGGAAATCTCTTATGATTTTGACTTTTTTTGATAAAATTTAGGAGCAGGTTCACTGTTAGTTGCAGACAGTGAGGGCCACCAGAGCCATCATTAGTCCTGAGGTATCTGGTTCTTTGACTTTCTCTGAAGGTACCAACAGGCAGCAGATGTTCTGAGCTCTGTGAATCTAAATAAAGATCAGTGAGTAGGAGGTTTAATGAATAATATTTCTCCTGTTCCTGTCTTAATTCAGTTAGGAGCATCTTATCTTCAGAATGTAAGATGCCTGGCAAAGGGAAAGAAAACAAAAAGTAAGTTTGCAAAGGACAAATTAACCCAGCAGACAGATTCCCAGTCTGTTCTCTGTAGGTTAATAATTGAATCTGCCAGAAAGAACCGACAGTAGATTAACCAGAGGAAAGGTATGCAGGCTCATTACATACAAGCACCTAAGAATCTTGAAAGAACTAAAGGTGAAACTCAAGCTGTGGGATCCATGGTCCCCAGCAACATCTTTAATAGACAGCCTCAAGTCACCATATAACAGCCTGCTTATTCATGTACATGATCAGGAGCCTTTAACTGCCTCCATGCTGCCCCTGTCCCCAAGCAAAAACAGTGATTGGGTATGTGGATCTTATTTAAACTGTGCACCTTACTCTTAGATCAGTAACTCAGAACTGCTGCATGTGCTTGAGTCTCTAGGCTCTGTCCATTTAAGGCTGATGAACTGTAGCTGAACCACAAGCCCACAAGCTGAAGAGGTGGCCCAGAAAGCAAGTTAACAATGTTTCTGGTGTTCAGCTGTTTAGAATCCCCAGGGAACACCAGACAAAAAAATACTTAAACTTTGAAAAATAAGTGTTACATAAAAATGACAAAATAGAAACTACATTTTAAAAAAAAAAGGAAACTTTCAAACTTAGGTATCCAGCAAGTGCCAGGTCTAGGAAACTACAGTAGT